TCTCAGGAGTAGTAAAGTTTGCAATTAGAGATGTTACCAATTGAAGGGATATCAAATTCATTAGAATTTCCCCTCACATGTATCTTGCAATAAATGTGATAAATTAACTTTTTCAAATATAATACTTGTGATATCTATACTAGAAAGAACTGTAAAATGAAGTAGTAATATCAGAAAAAGTTAGTTGAATTAATTTCAACACAGGTACTAGTAGGTAAAATAGATACAAATAAAAGTGATAAAATAATACTAATATCACTAGAAAAAGACTGATAAACTATTAACATCTTTGATATGCTCTTTAGAAATTCTAAACTAAAAGAAAGTTTTTTTTGATAGGTGTTACTAGTATCACTAGCGTTACTAGTTGGAATTTGAGTTTCTTAACTTTTTTATTTTTTTAGAGCATATATATATCATACATATACTATATATTCATTATATTATATCTTACATAAACCATAGAGATAGTATAGAAAATTTTAATTTTTCTATAATTTACTACTCTTTACTAGTGATACTAGTGATACTAATAAAGAAAGAAATAAAATAGCCTAATAATCTCAAAGAGCATATCAAAGGTATGTTACCAGTTGGTATATAGAACTAGTGACACTAGTGACAAGGCCAAAATTTTAGATATAATAACTTAGCATTTAAGCTAATATAAAGTGGTCTAGAACTAGCAAATTAATAGAACTACTTTAGCTTTCTATCAGTTCCTAATAGCTTTATGATACTGGTTTATTATTATCAAACTGCTAGCATTATACTGAATATTATTCATATTTTAAAGATCAGCTAAAATTATGTTATAAGGCTAACTAAAATTAACTGAAATTGGATTATAAATTTATTGTGTTATCTAACGTCTTTTTTTACACTTTTTTAACACCTTGAAAGACTATTAAATAAATGTAAAAAGAATGCATCTTTAATATAGAATTAAATACCTAAACAGGTATAAAAGGTCAGTACTTTCAATATAAAACTTAGTTTACAATTAAGGTTGAAACAAGAAGAAAATAGAGATAATTAGATTAAAGCATGTATGTGATATTTAGAATATAGCATGATATTTAGATTATAGTGTAATATTTAGATTATAATGTAATAATATAACTTAGTTTAAATAAGATATTACATTTTAATATAATTATGTTAAAGCGTAATATCTCATTTCATTATATAGTAAATAAATAATGAATTTTATATAATTTATTTATAATAATTATCTGAATTTTATTTTGTGATTAATTTTAAGAATTATCTAATCATGTGTTATTAAACATAATGATCAATTATAAATAAATTATAAAAAATTTTTTGATTTTGCTTTATTAATCTGGCTGAGATATAAAAACTAATAATATTATTTTTTACACTTTATTAAATAAAATCACAAATATTTATTTATCCAATTTTATAATAAAATTTATAAATAAATAATTATAGGACTTTTTTTTTTAAAAAAGTATATTTTCAGTTTTTTTTTTTTGTATTTACAAATTTTCAGATGGAATAAAAATTATCAAAATCATTTATAACTAATTATTTTTATATAAAATCATTATATTTAATCTTCTAATATTCAGAATAAATATGAATTCTTAATATTAAAATAATTATGCAAAATTTTAAATAATCAAAAAGTTAATAATTTAAATATGATCCAGTGCAAAAAGATATGTACCTCAAATAAAATGCTAAAAATAAAATTTATTATTAAATAAAATTTAATTTTTTTATTTATATCATATCAATATATATTCAGAAACATAAAAATATAAAAATTAAATTAAAATCATTTATCATCATTAGAAACATCATAGTTGTCAAAATCTTCTTCAATTATTTATGTATTCTCATCAATTTTATGATATTCCTTAACTTATTTAAGTGTTCTCCTCCAAAGATCAACTATAACTTTTGAGTTAATTTTTTTTTTAAATACTGTATATCTAATAGTATATTTTAAATAAACAAAAGGTTTAGATGTAAACTTGAACTTGCAACTTCACCCTTTATAACAGCTCAAACACCTTCAATTGAATGAAGTCCATAATGATAAGGAGGGATAAAAAAAATTTGATGATTATATCATTCTGCTATTTTAACAGCATCTTTTTCTTATTCATTTGGATTAGTTCCAAAAATTCTGGCCTTCATAACTAACTCATCAGAAAATTCAATATTATGAGCAATTAGCTAGTTAATTATTTTTTGTTTTCTTATGTTTGAAGTTAGAATACTTTCAACTCACTGTTTATGATATCTTATCCTATCTATGTGAAGGTTTACTTTTCATATAGTATTTCATAAAAAGTTTTAAAAATGTCTTCAAATATTTTCATGTTGAAGTTTTCATGATAATCAATTTGATTAGAAGTTATATTTGTGCTTTTAACAATATAGGGAATATCACTTCACTCCTCAGCATTATTTCTTCTTTTTTCACTGTTTTCTAAAGTTTAATTGTTGAATCTCAAATATAGATAGAATTTGAAATAAATTCACCATGTAACTTGTTAGAAGATCTATTTCAGAATATAATTATTGCTATAAAAATTACTACCAGTAGACCATGCTTGGGTACTAAAATAACACCTTAATGTGAAACCCATATATTACATAAAATATGATGCAAATGATAATATGATTCATCAAGAAAAACTTTTAAATGACATGAACATCATTATTTTTTTTCAAATTAGTAAACTAAAAGTGAAGGTACTGATAATAAAATGCAACATTATTTAGTGATTTATAGAGAATATTTTTTCATTTCTCTTGTTTATACTAATAGCCCAAAGAGTGCAATACCTGAAGAAGTTTTCATTTGGAAAATATATATTCATATTCAGATAGATATTGCCGAAGAATAGAAGTTAAAATTTGCTCAGCTATTTTATTACCATTCAATATTTTTGTGTATAGAAATTCTGAACCATTTTCATTAGATTGAAACTTAGGTCTTCCAAAAATTTCATATAGTGTAATTGTACCTTCACTATGCTTGTTACAATCAGATACCACCTTTCTAACTAAACTTTCTGCTATTTCCAACATCTTTAGCAATATGCTTTGCATAATAAAAGACTTTGATGATCTGTTCTTATCAATTTAGCTTTAGAGAAATAATTATATATATTAATTATCATTCATTTTTCATTATTTGTTAATGGTGCACCATCTCATTTTAAGGAAGAAGTACTCATAACAGGGTTTGGAATTTTGTATGTACTAGATAAAATTATACTTGTACTAATTTAATATTAATTATTATAATATATTAATTGTACTAATTGTATTAATTATTGTACTAACATTGTACTTCCCAATCCTGCTCATAGTACCTAAAAAATTTTGTGAAAAAGTTGCATTTGGTTATATTCAGCAAAATTTATAAAATTTAAACCATTTTTAGTTTGGTCATACGGTATAATTCTTGGCATAGATCTTTTTCTTTTTTGGCAAGATACATATCTTTTTGCACTGGACCATATTATAAATATAAATTAATAAAAAAAGTTAATTTATAATATATAGGATGTCTTCAGCAAAAGCAAGGATTTAAGCAAAAAAATTTTTTGAGATTTTGTCATAATTATATATTAATTTATATTATCTTTTAAAAAATATATTTTTTTATTTATAATATATTAGTAAAAAAATTTAAATTTTTAATAATTTGTAATCTTTATATTTTTTTTATTGCATTTACAAATGATATAAATATATTAGAAAAAAAACTAATACTTTTAATGAATTCCTTGCAAATTCTTATCCTAGTTTGTAAAAAACTGATTTCAAAATCTTTAAATTTTCTATAATAAATTGCAATTTTCGCAAAATTATGTAATTATCTGAGCCCTTAGGGTATCTTAAATAATAAAAATTTAATAATAAATAAATGTAGCTAAATAAAATATAACTAATGATTCAAATAAGAATTATACTGGTAAAATATTAAAACAAATATTTAAACTTACTTTTAACACGTTATGATCATATGTAACCATATGATAATATAAAATAATATTGAAAGTTTATATAATATCAGGTTAAATTATGATAATATATAGATAGTATACTCTTAAAATTATTCATTTTTATATCCAATAGAAATAACTTCAGTATATCAATCTATAATTATTATGTATGGTATTTTTTTAAAATTGATAAATTTTATTTGAGATTAAACGGTGCTATTTGTAAATTTAAGCTAGTAGTAATGCTCTTATTATGATAAAAATTGATTTTCTATTATTTCAGTAAATTATAATTTCATTCGAAGCTAATTTACTTAAAAAATAAACGTGCGCGAAATGTTGTCGTTTATAAAATTTATTCAATAATGATTTGATTTTGATAAAATCAGGAATCCATTTTTGAATTTAGGACCGGTTCTCAACTTAACGGTCCCATGAAAATTATCGATTTCGAAGTTAATTCTCCTTTTAAAAATTATTCATAAAATTTAATATAACCAATAGCAAGCAAGCGTCAATATTATATATAATAAACGATTAGACATTTCTGTTAGAAATTTCTAAACTTGATCAAAATCATTTGGGGGGACCCCGAAAATCATGAGATATACCTTATATTAAAATGTGGTTATCTTTTTATTTAAGGAGTTAATTCCGGTAAATAACGCTATATACAAAGTTAATTTAATATATCCTTTTGAAAATACATATTAATATATTAATCACATGTATCGTAATTTTGATAAGCATTCATTTTAAATAATGAATTCCATCCGGAAGTGTAGTAAGGAGGATGTAGAAGAATGTGTAATCTTTTAAAAAATAAACATTATAAGAATCTTTTTTTAGTTATGGTCTATCGAAATTAAAAATATAAATATAACTCTTCTAAACTTAATTCATTTATATCAAAAAAAATACTTTTGCTCCAACTATTACATTCACATCATTCTCCTGAACTTACATCAAAATAATATTTTCAAACTTTTTCTACAACCTTCAACAATCATGAAATTCTTACCAATCTTAACCGTTTGTTTGATTCTTATCATTGCGATTGTACAAGCGGTTCCTATCACAAAAAGAGCATTAGGATCCAAAGTAGGAACTTTGGGTGTGAGTTTTGAGGATTCCTACAAGAAATTTAATGGTCAAGTGAAAGCTGCCAATAAAAAGTTTGAAAAAAAAATCGCATTATTTAATAAGGTAATTCCAGATGCCGCAAAAGATGATCATACAGACGCAAAAACCACAAAATGGCTTTTGGACTGGAATGCTAAATATGAGAAAATTGTAGGTGATTTGGAAGTTACCTCTAAAAAGTTGGACAAATCAATCGCAACTCTTGGAAAACATTTAAAACAATGAATAAATACTTTCTTTCATATTTTTTGTTCAAAATATTATATTCCCTTATTTTTACATTAAAATACGTAATTTAATTATTTTAATAATGATTGATGATGCTTTTTGTCTAATATGTTCCTTATTCTAAACTTAAATACTCAATTAGCATTTAATATATAAAACTTTTATTTAATAATATTAATAAATCTCCTAAAATTACTTGATGTAATTTTCAATTCCTTAATATTTATTTTTTCCTAATGACAGTAAATATTGAAAATTTTGAAATATTAAAGCTTTACTGACCCAAGAACCATAAAAACATGCAATCTTGATATTGAAATTGACTTAAGATTGGAATATAAAGATTCATTCAATCATTCTACGTATTAAAACTATCTTGCAGTTGTTGCGTTCGTTCATTAGAAGAAGTGATCAAGTTGTCGAAGTTTAATAATTTGCGGCAGTTATTAAAAATATGCATCGATCAATGCAATTTTTATAGTGTAACATTTAACATTTATTCAATTGTTATTATTATCAGGTAAATATCTATGATTTAAATTATGTCGTAAAAATTACTATTTTCATTTACCACATGAAGAAGGTTAATGGACGACGAAATATGCAAGACTATATGATTTTGGAATAACTCACATTTCGTTGTCTATTGGGATTTTAACAATACATGTGGCCCGTTTTGGCTCACTTTGGTCATACTTTTCTCCTGAAATCTCTCATGATTGCAGTTAATCTTGTAATTTATGCAATTGGTAATAGTATAAATGCATTAAATTCTAGCCAGCCCCGCGCATTGATATATACAAAAAATTTATATGATCTTCATGAAAATAACGATACGAATGTCTGTCACTTTTAATGGATCTTACTAGAAACATAGGCAATTTATTTTAAACTCATAAAATTATTTTTTTTTGGATTAAAATTTAATACAAAACAGTTCTTTTCTTTTTAATAAAAAGTATTTTATTGTCGAATAAATTTCGACTTCGTATTAACAAGTTAAACGTTTATAACTTGTTAAAAGAAAATATAATAAAGCTTACCAATTAAATTAAAAGTTTGGAAGGTTTTTAATAAAAACACGTTATATTTAATAAATTATTAAGCTAATTTTGTGCACATGACCGAGATAAATTTTGACCAAAATTTGGATTTCCCCCTTTTCTACTGACCGTCCCCGTTTGTTTTTATATTTTTTATATGAATATATTATAATACATTTTATTGATATATAGGTTTACTTGAATTTTTGAAACTTTAAGTTTTTTTACTTTGATGATATGGTAGAAAATATCTTAATTAGAATTTCTTTTTAGTAAGAAATAATCAACTCTAATAATATTGAATAAACTTCTTATAAGGTATTTCACTAATCATGAAAGTATTTCATTAATAAAAAAAAAAATAAAAACATGCATCATATTGCATCACAATATGAAAAAAAAAATACTTCAAAGTTGAAGAATACCAAAATCTTTTACTAATAAAAATTAAATAAATATTAGTAATTTTAAAATTATATTAGAATGGATGAAATAAAAAGAAATTAAAGATTATTGGAATTATTCAAACCAAATGTAAAAACATAAAAACATATTATTTTTATAGGTATCTATTATCATGTTTTCTATAATTAAACTGAAAAAACTATAAAATTATCTGAAAATCCATTTTTGTAATCTAAGAAATTCTTTTTTTCCTTATAAAATTACATATATTTTTATTGTCAAAATTATATATTTATTCATATTTTTAAATGAATCTTAAAAAATACCTTAATTTTAAGATAAAACTCATGTATATATTAGAAAAAAAATTACTTAAGCATAAAAATACTTATTGAATCTAATAATGCATTTGTAATAATACAAGAAAATATACTAATCTCAGAAGTAATGATATATATTTTCTATGTTCTAAGCATTTTAAAATTTTATCACATTATGTTTAAAACTGTCTCACATTAAATTTCAATGTTAAAGACTATGTTCTAATAATATCTTATAATAAATAATATTGCTTGAAAACACATGTGATTTTCTATTGATCAATAACATAAATATAATTAATTATAATATATTATAAATGAAAATTGTTTTTATATTAATTTGAGATTTATGTAATAATTATTATACTACTTCAATGCACTTAATGCATATTCCATACAATTCTAAGTATATAAAAATCATACAAAATTTCTCTTTTTAAATGCACACCTTTTTTAAATATATATTTTTTCAAATTTTCACTATTATCTTAAGAAGATGAGTTTAAAAAGGTCTTACTATAATAAAAATATGATATTAATATAATATTACTTATAAATATTAATTTTTTAAAAAGTAATAATTTAATTTAATTGCTTTTATAAGAAATAAAAATAAAATTATATGTTTTTAAAAGCTTATAACTCATTAATTACAAATGTTAGAAACATGATTTTATATTTATTTTAATTCTCAAATTTTAAAAGAATATTTAATAAATTTGAAATACAATTATTTATTTAATTTTACATAATATTAAAATTTTATTTTTATATATAATCATAATCAATATATTATTAAAGTTATCTTTTTTAAATACATATTTTATTCAATTTTAAATATATATTATAATATATATATTTTTCAAAAATTTAAAAAGAAATATATTTAAAAAAATTTGATTATATAATTTATAAATAAAAATAATAGATGTTAATTAAAGATGGTACAGCAATTGATTTCAAATTTACAAAATGTTGCAACATAAGCTAAAATTAGTTGCAACATACGTTGCAACATTATAAGTTGCAACATATATAGGTTAAAACTAATTGCAATGTAAGTTGCAACATTAAAAGTTGCAACATATTAATTACAGTTCCCATCTTTAATGTTAATATATATATTTTTTTTATAATAAAGCATAATAAACTAAAATTCATTAATTTTAAAAATTAGATAGATTATTTTTATAAATTTATTATATTTTTTTTGTATCTGTAAAAATCTATTTATTATATATTATATATTATATAATAAAAAATGTTAAAAAAAAAATATAGTAAAAAAACCTTAATTTTTTAATTTAAAAATATATTATAAAATTAGTTGCAAAATTTTAAAATGATTATTTGTAAAAAAAATAATACTTTATAAATAAATAAATAGATAAAATATAAAATAAATAAATAAATAAATAAAATATAAAATAAATAAATAAATATGTATATTATATTTGTTGATTCCATAAAATACAATCATTAAATTTTACTTTGGTTCCTCCAAAGATATCTAATGCACTATAAATATAAAAATTTAAACGAGATAAAGTTATTTAAAAATATAAAATTAATATATTAATATAATATATATATATACCTTCCAAATGTCAAATGGATCTTACCATTTGATAATTTATTTACTGTTTCAAGATCTTTAATAGCTATAAAAATGTAATTTTACAATTAACAAATGAAATAAGAAAATAAAAGACAACTTAGAAATACTCACAATTTGCACCACCTGCATATGTCGTTGGTATTGTAACCCATTTTCCAAGACCTAATCTAACCATTTATTAAAAAGAGTAGGATTGTGCATAGAATTTATAATAAAATTGTTTATAACATACATTCAACAAGTTCAATGTCAATTCCTTGGCATAATCCTTCTACATCGGCGGCATGAATCAAAAATTCACTACAATTCGAATTAAAATTTATTACTATATACTTGTAGTTAAAAGATTAAAATTAAAATATTACAAACCTGCAATAATCTGATAATAATCTTAAAGATCCTAAAAAAATAAAAATAAATAACAATTAAAAAAAAGTTTTGTTACAAAAAAATAATTTAAGAATAGTCCTTTACCTTCATTTATTTCCATATCTGTCATGGTTTGCCATTTATTCATAGTGACAACCCATTTATTTTCTCTTTTACGACAACTATTAACAAAATGTTAATTAAATTTATGCAAACCAATATATTTATATATATTTATATATTTACCTAACATCAACAACAATTTTTTCTCTTCCGATTCTTGCTGATAAATCTTGCAATCTATTTAAAGAAAATTTAGCATCGGGAAAAAGGTATGAAGTGACAATCACCTAAACAGCAAACAATTTTAGTTATAAGACACAGTTTTATGAATTAAGGGAATTATCATTATACCTTTTCAGCACCAGCATTTAACCACGCTTCTGCATTGTCTAAAGTAATTCCTCCGCCAATTTGTAATCCACCAGGCCAAGTTGTTAAACATTCCTTGGCTGCTTCTTCATTTCCAGGTCCAAGTTTAATCACATGAGCTCCAGTTAAATTATGTAGTTTATATAAATTAGCGTAATAACTTGGCTTTTCACTAAAATAATAATAATAATTTTAACAAATTTTCGAAAAGTAAAGAAAAAAAAAAAATTACCTTGATACGAAATTTGTTTTGAGTTCAGAAGGACTTGATTCATTTAATGAGCCTCCTACAATTTGTTTAACTTGTCCATTATGTAAATCTATACATGGGCGAAACTTTGTTTTTGGCATTTTTTTTTTCAAAGCTCCGTTTATTTAGATATTGATAATCTTTATCAAAAAAATCATTACACAGATGCTGTGCCATTTGTTATAATAAATTTTATTTTAAGAAAAAATTAATTTTATATTTTAAATATCTATTATAAATATTGAAGAATTAATAAACAATACATAATCAAAATATTTACATAAAAGGTTCGAAATAAAAAAAAACGTTTCATATCGATAAGAGAACTAATAATATTATTAATATTAAATGCAATAAGTGGCGTACAAGTATTCCTTTCGTTTTCAATTTAGTTTGTTATCTCCATAGGATCATCGATTTCGACATATCTTTCCCTATTTAATTTAGGAGATACTTGATTCAAATTATTCAGAGATGTTTTTGTAGGTTTCGAATTAAACAAACATGTCGATTCAGAATTGAACAAATTTAAATCAGATTTATAATGTCTTTTTGGAGATAATCCTAGCTCGGGTAAGGCTAAATCTTCTTCAATGGAACGTTCTTTCAAATAAGAAGAGCCATTTATCGGTATAGTTTTCCGAAATGGTTCTTTTGTTTGAGATTCTGAAGTTGGTGTAAAGAGGGGACCCAACAAAGATAAAACCTTCTCGGATTGCTGTTCATTCAAAGATGGGTTCTTACTTGATCCGATATCCTTCAAATGTCCAGGACATAAAGCAGGTAAAGCAGGTAACTCTAACTTGAGTATGGAAAGCGAAGCTTCTGCTGGTCGCCGTTGATAAAGTAATTCGTTTGAAACCACTCTCTTTGTTGGAACTCCCGAATAATAATTGATGTCATGAAAAGATTGGTCAGCGTTCCATTTTCTCTTTTTCGCTTTAATAGTCGTTGAATTTGCTCCATTAAAATCTGAGGAATGAACTTCATTATATCCAGGGATAGAAGTTGTCATACATGGAATTACATTTCGAACTATATTTTGTCTTGTATAAAATGTGTCCATTGTAAAATTTTGAATGTTTGTTGAAAAGTTGATTTCTTTTTCGTTTTGCATCGTGAAAGAAAAGATGAAACTCAAATGTTTCGTACCCCAGGAATATTTTTTGATCCGTTTAAATAGAAAATATTTATCTTTAAAAATGATATTTACCCTTATCTGTATGGATGCAGTATATAAGAAGAAAAAGGAGAAAATCGGCAATAATCAACAAAACATCATGCATAATTATATGCTCTGCTTGCAGGCTGCGGTAAATTTTTTGGTCCGCAGCCTGGAATTCCCATTAAAAAACCTGTTAAAACCAACCCGTACTCGATTTGACAAACAAAAAAGATTGCTTTTTCTTGAAAATTCGAAAATTTCCTTTTTTTTAAGCGCCTCAAAATATTGTGAAAAAAATTATAAATAAATGCATTGTGTGTCTCAACATTGTTTATATTTACAAACCCTCGAAATTTTGGGGAAGAAAAAAAAATAAGGTTATTTTCCACCTGCAATATGTCCTGCAATTTCTTACCCACATACAAGTCATGGGTTACATATTGTATATTTCTTATTTACAGATTAAGTTAGTAGAAAATCACATTTTGTGTTCCTTCAAAAAATTTTCACCCTCATTTGTAGATAATTTCAACCACTTTGATAAATTTAGTTAGTTCCAATTCAACAAAAAAATCTTATGGTTTTCCTAACTCGTAAAGCGTTATTTTGTCAAATTTGTCAAGCTTTTCGTTTTTTAAGATAAATGTTACTTCATTAAAGTGATAGAGAACTTGGTAATATAATCAATTGACTTGAAAGTAATATCATTGGATTATAACAAAGACTATGATTTCGAATTTTATGTAAAAGAAAATTTAGGAAACAGAAAGCCATATAAGTTTTAATTGGATCCTAATACTAGTAATCTTTTAAATGCTATTAATCAATCTAAAAGATCAATAAAACCTCCAATATTCGGTTTAAATAGTTATAAATTGCCTGAAAGTTTATAAGATGAAATAATACCTGAAAAGCATATTCTTAGTCTTAAAAATATTTCATTAATAACTAACAACTGTAATTATAGTAATATTTAGCAGATTTTGAATATATCATTGCTTTTTTGATAAATACATCTAAAGTATATTTATTTAACTAGCAAGTTAGTTCTTTTTTACCAGTAATCACCAAATATTTAATGAGTCACACAAGTATAATGTGTTATACAAATGCACCATATAAGAAATGATAATTGTAATGAGTAGATTAATATTTTATATAGAAAAACATAAATAATTGATTAGATAATTTATAATAAATGCATTTTATAATCAAATTAAAGATTTTGATTATTGATTTTTATTAACAATTTATTTAATAACATGATAATACAGTTCAAAGGTATTAGTCAGATAATATAATATTTTGATATTTTTATTTTTAAAAATAATTTTTTAGTATTGAAAATTTTAAGGATTTAATCATAAGATGTATAATCTTTGATATTCTTTGATCATCTTCTGATCAGTCATGAATACTGAATTTGTCAAAATGAAAAATCTTAACATTTTCCTAAGTAAAACTTCTGCTAAGAGTATTATTTACAAAGAAGATATTTGGATCCAAAGTAAAAGAAACATTCAGTAAAATTAAACCTTACATTTTGTGAACTATAAATGCAAAAAAATTCTGTAGTAGATATTGAGTTTTATCAGTTATTTTTATATAGTTAAAAGTGATGTATTTGCTTATAAATAGTTTTGTTTACTATAGAACCTCTTATAGAAAATACAATTCAAACAAAATGATTGATAAGATCTAAATTTATAATATTTCTAATTGTTTTATTACATATATATATCTTACTCAATTAAAGAGTTATTAAGATGTAATATGAATATTTGTTTATAATCTTATAGAAGAAAGCAGATTGATTTTACTTTTAAAAAGACTTTCAAAAAAGAAAGCAACTCATAATATAGAATCTACTAAATCTATAGCTTAAGATATAAAAAACCTTTTTTTAAGAATTGGTAGAATATTACAAATCATTTAGTTAATTTGCTAATTATTTTCTCTATAGTCAATAATATTGATAGTATTAAAAAGTGTATAAATCAATAGACATATTAAAAATTTAGAATATTTATAACTGAATATTTGTTATATTTTAGCAGATATATTACTATTTAAACTTCTTGTAAGATTTGATAAAATTTGCTATTAAATTGTTAACATTATAGAATTATTAGAAATAAAGAATAAAATAAAATTTAAGTCATTAAACAAATTACCAGTGACTTTTTAATATAATTATATTAAAGAATCATTGGCAACTTGCATTAGGTTATGAAAATAACTTTATGATCTATTGATAATTTTACAATCTATTATTAACTTGATGATCTATTAGTAACTTCATAATCTAAATATATAATCTAATTGTAACTTTACAACCTAAGTACATAATCTAATAGTAACGTTATAATTTATTTTTTTGGCTTTTTAATTATTGTTTTAGTTAATTTATGATATATTATAATAGTAACTTTATAATCTAATATTTATTGTAATTCTTTAATCTAATGGTGATTTCATTAACTAATGATTACAATTTTCTTTATTATCTTTAACCTTTTTATTATTAAGGAGTTTCTCATCTGTTTATGTTATTACTGATTAAAATTTTACTATTGAAAAGTCGATCTACAAAAAATTATCAAACGATCTATAGAAGTTACTGGAATTAATTTTATATTGATCATGAAATTAGATGATTAGCATAATTTTTGATTTTTCTAATTCTTAAAATTTATAGGATTTTTAGGATTTACTGAATTCACATAATCATCAGGATTCATTAGATTTTCCTAATTTCCTGTTTTTCTATTATTTTAATTATTATTATTATTATTATTATAATTATTATCTCTATTAAAGATGGGAACTGTAATTAATATGTTACAACTTTTAATATTGCAACTTATGTTGCAATTAGTTTTAACCTATATATGTTGCAACTTATAATGTTGCAACATAGGTTGCAACTAATTTTAGCTTATGTTGCAATATTTTGTAAATTTGAAATCAATTGCTGTACCATCTTTAGCTCATACGATTCCTATACATGTCATACGAAGAAAGGAGAGCAGTCAACAACTGCATAAATCCTGGCATTTATATGTCCTAACTTTTTTGCAGTAATAATTCCTTATTTTTGACTTTTACTAAGTTTTTTTTCAAGACACATTGTTGTGCCAAATTTTTTTACACCAATAAATGTATAACCTTCTTGTATAACTCAAATAACCCACTTTTATGTATAAAGATGGGAACTGTAATTAATATGTTGCAACTTTTAATGTTGCAACTTACGTTGCAATTAGTTTTAACCTAT